CTCATCAGCTAATACTGACCGACTGCTCACTCTGTGCCAGCCACTATCCACTCACCTCGGCCTCTTCAGCTAATACTGACCGACTGCTCACTCTGCACCAGCCACTATCCACTCAGCTTGGCCTCATCATCACCCTCTTTTGCAAATGAAAGGGTTAATAGTGACTGGCACATTACCAGTCAACAGGTATTAACTGACATTTTTTTTCTTTATTGTTAAGAGTACTCTAGTGATTTCATGTCATTCTGATCTTTTCCCGAATTTGTGTTTTCTTTCAGAGCTGGTATGCCAAAACCCCTCTGGGTAAAAAGCGAGCCTTGGCATTAATGGAAGATGGACGAGAAAAATCAAAGGATAAAGGGAAAAAGAAAGAGAAGAAAGGGAAAAAGGGGAAAAAGAAGAAGTAATGCTTTTCTGAGGACCCATCTCTGAGTCTCCTCTGGGGTGGAGATGGCCCCAGCTCCAGAGAGAAGCTCCCCATCATGGTTCTGATGAAACCCCCCAAAGAAGACACTTGGAAAGGTGCAGCAGCACTGGCTCCCCACACAATGCTCCGTCATGCCCAGAGGTGGCCTGACGCCGAGCCGGGTGTCCATAATAATCGTTTCTGTAGCTTAATCTACATCACGTTTCTGCATAACTAAAATACACTCTTCACACACTCCACGATCTTTCCAAGTCGGATGCTTCATCCTGTCAGTTATCAAATTTAAAATTTGATAGAGAATATTCTAATTTGACTGCTAGTCAGTAGTGGATAGATAATCATCAGTACACTAGCTCTTCATTAATCCATGCGTGCTATACAGTATCTTGCACATATTTTAATAAATTAATTATTTTCTCTAGTAACATATTTTATATGATGGAATAAAGTTCTTGTCCTTGAACCGACTGAGTAATTTGATTGGTGGAGCTGAACTATTTCAACATCCTAATTTTGAAAGGGAGGTAATTAATGTCCAGGGTCATGCGGCCAGCACTGGGCACGCTGGGTGGAGGTCGTGGCCCGGTGTAGCGTTCATTGCAAGCACAGAAACACTGGCAAGCCAATGACTGGGCAAAACCATGACATAAAAATAGAGTAAGTTCACCCAAAGGAGGAAGCCATGGTAAAGAAGTAAAAACTGGTAAATGAGAAAAAGATGAAAGAGTTGAAAATCTATGGTCAAAATGTTCAAAAGAGAAATTTAAATTTTATAAGAACATGAATGATTATTGGTGGAAGACTGCAAGTCACCCACTTCCAAACTGTGGTGAGAACACGACCAAAGGCAGCAGACTTATGGGACAGAATTTTAAGAACACCCTGTCAGGTAGTTGGGGTTATACCACAGAGATTCATAAATCTCCCACTCCACAGCCCAGGGTAGCTTCCCAGTGTGCCCAGGATTTCCAGTAGCTTGGATCACCGATGCCCAAGATGACTAATGGTTTCCAAGTGTCTTCTGGCCATCAGCCTGTCCCCTTTAGCCTGTGGCCTGCACACAGTAGGCTGACACAAATCAGGACAAACAGATGGTCACAGGGTGTTGGGATGGCTAGTCCTGCTCCCCAGCAGCTAATCCCCTGATCATCCTCTTGGACTAACTGCTGCCTTCTTGGTGCCCCTTTCGTAGACGTCCCTTCTCATCACCAAGGATCCCAGTGTCCCCAGACTCTGGGCCTGACCTCCACTGACCCACTTCAGACAATGTCTTGCCAGATCCCAGTGTGGCCTGAGAGCTGACAGACTCCCTACCCTGACCTCTGAGAGCAGGTGTACACTCATGTCTCCAAGACGGTTCCGCCAAGATCCTTTCACACACCATGGGAAGAAGAGCGTTGCTTATGCCCCAAGGAAAAGGCCTCAAGTCTCTGGGATTTGATGTTCGTTGCAAAGTGACGGGGTCTGCACTGTGAACAAATGGCAATTGTGAGGGTAGAAGCCAACACCTTTTTAAATACCAGTTAACTTGGTCTTAGTTTAAGCACGCCTTTTTTCAGAATTCATACAAATCTCTGTTGACAGAGTTTAAAAAGTAATTAAATAATGAAAATATGATGGTCAGCTTTAGAGTACTATTCAGTAGAACTTACTGCCAGGATAGAAAGTTCTAGATCTTGCTCTCCCAGTGGGAGCAGCCAGTGGTCACATGTGCCTACTACACATTTGAAATGTGGCTTGACGAACTGAATGTCTAATTTTAGTCAATGGTAGTATCTTTTAAACAGCCACATGTGCTAGTGTGACTACTGCATAGGAGCAGCTTCAGAGCAGCTTGAGCCCTAACTTGCTCTGTTTTGTCCCAGGGCACTAACGTGGAGACTACAGGTCCCTCCTGTCTTCTCCCACAGCTTGACTCGCTGCCCTTCCCAGTGTGAGGTCTGGGCACTTGTCACACAGGGTCCCTGAGCCTGGTCTGCAGCCCCCGCCAGTCCCGGCAGCTCCCCCTGCTGGCTTCAGGTGCACAGGGTTTCCACCTGCCCCAGGTCAACCCCTGCACGTCCCTGCCCACCGCACAAGAGCCTGGCGCACCAGGGCTGGCTCAGGTTGGTGTTAACATCCTGGCCTCCTGCTCTGCGTGGAGTGGGTGTGGAAAGGGTGAGTACACAGGTGCGTACACACACGCGCTTCTTTGACACAGATGGTGAGGTCCTATACGTACTGTCCACCCCTTTGTTCTTGTCACTGGATAATGTAATGCTTCAGAATCTTGTCTCCTATCAGCTCATCAGGACTGGCCTCGTGTTCTATTTCCTACGCTGCACCCCACTCTGCGGGTGTTCCTCAGTCTGTTTCCTCCGCCCGTGCTTGGCACTTCGATTATTTCCACCTTTTGCTATTCCATCCACACTGCAGTAAATGACCTCACATCCCATTTGTAGGCATGAACCCAAAAGATCCGTGGTATAAATTCCTAGAAATTACTGAGCCAAATACCCTGTATGTTTTTCACTTGGGTGACCGCTGCCAGACGTCCTCTAAAGGGGGTCCAGCAAACCTCTCACCCGTGTAGGAGACTCACCTCGGTGTCCACCTCGTCTTCCACAGACAGGCCCCAGATTTCCCGAGCCCGATGGTGCCCTGAAAACCCAAAGTCCTCCTGGAAGGCCAGGCAGCGGTGAGCTGCGCTCCCACTTCTAATTGACATGACACAGAGACGGAACCGTGACAGCCCCCATGGGAGGAAACAGAAGGGGATCACGGAGGGCAGGCGGAGGGCTGGGTGGGAGGAGAGGACACAGACCCTCAGAGCTCTGCCAGAGTATCGGCCATTCCTGGCCCATTATGTGACAATTAGCTCCTCTTGAGCATGTTCTGAAGTGGAGGGGACAGTAATTAATGTCATTAACCCTCATTAAGGGAGCATGCTGCAGAATGGAATCTGATTAAAGTGGAATTTGGGCTTTCATGGCACTGCACTTAGGAGTGTATGGGTCCCAGGTCCAAAACCGTGTCCTGACGTCACAGCATTGCTCAAATGACTCTCCTGAGAAGGTCGGGGCCTAAACACCTATGTTCAAAAGAGCAAGTTTAAAACCCCAATGCTGAAGAGCCTGCTTTTGAGACTCTTCCAGATATATACCCATAGTTAATACAAAGTCAGCAATCAGGGTAGGGGGTCACAGGGCTATTTCACAAGAGTGACACTATTTTTAGCCACTCACACTACAGGACCCAAACCATTGACATAAGCGGCTTCTAATGTCCTTGAAAGTCTTGACATTTTGCCGTAAGAGAGGCAAGGGTGATGCTAACAAAGGCCGAGGAAGCGATAAGCGACTGGGGCAAACCAGCAGCATCTGCCTACACCATGAGATTTGGACAGTCAGGACCTTCACCCAAAACGTGTGTCTCAAAGCACCTGAAACCCCATCACCAGCATCTCCCAGTGGCTCACACACGGTGACCTTGACAGCCCCACCTCCTGCAGGTGCATAGCCACAGCAAGCCAGTGCTTCTGTGCTGGTCCCTGTGCCTTTCCTCAAGAGCCCTCTGTGCACTCGCACCATGCCAGGCTGGGGTACAAGAGCACAGGGGTTCAGCCTCGTGGGGAAGGAGACTTAAATAAAATGGTCGCACTGATGAATGAGGTGGGCCAGACAGGGGCAGGGCGTGTGCACCAGGGAGGCCAACCTAGTCCGAGGGAGCAGGCTGCACAGTGCCTGACTTCACCCCTGCAAGAACCTTCCTGGATGGAGCTTCTGAGACTTTATGGGGAAGCTCCACATCTGCCTCTTCAGCTCCGGCTAACAGCTGCACTCAGCACCTCTGCAGTCACCTGAGTTGGAGCATTCAGAGTCCCTGTGCAGGGACTAGAGACGAGAGGTGCTTACTGCCTCCTAGCTGTTCAGTGGACAGCACTTCTCCCGCTGAGCCTGGACAGGGGAGTGAGGACTGAAGAGCACAGGGAAGCCCTGGTGGAGGAGGTGAGGACTGAAGAGCACAGGGAAGCCCTGGCTTCTCCACCACACGCTCCTTCTATTTTCTGACGCCTGGCTCATCTCCCAGGGCAGCTGACCCGGGTCCTCCACGCAGCAAACACGCACGGTCCCTCACTCTTCTTCTGGCCACCAGACTACCTGTCTCAGACACAAAGTCTCTGCAGCCAGTTCCAGGGGGTCAGAGCAAGGGCCCTGAGGGTCCCAAACACTGAATCTGACTCCTGCCCTACCCATCTCCGAGAGCGCACAGTGGCCCCTTTTCCTCCTAGGCCGTAGTGGGGGAGAATCAGGCGGTGACAGGCAGTGCTCCAGGCACAATGCCCACTCAGGCAGGTTCTCCACAGTCACTCGGGGTGCCCAAAGTAGCCCTGCCTCCCTCACACCACAGGTGCCACGGGCGGCCTCTGCCTTCCCAAAATGAAAGTAGGTGATGTGATGGGAGGGGAGCAGCTCCTGCCTCCTCAGGGCCAGGGCAAAAGTGTCCTCAGAGCATCACTGCTGGGGCTCTCTGTAGCCCCCACCTGTGCAGTGTGACTCACACCAGCTCCATCTCCGGAGCCCTGAGCCAGCCTCCCCCTATGGCCTCAGGGAAACCCCACTGGGCTGTGCTGGGTCCAATTTCTCCAAACTTCCGAGTAACCTTGGGCAATACAGCCACACATGTACATGCACATATACAGCACAGCACATGCTGTACACACCACACACTCCGACACACGGCACGCACAACACCACGCCACACATGGCACGCACTCCACACACGGCACACACTGCACACACGGCACGCACAACGCCATGCACTCCACACACGGCACACACTGCACACACGGCACACACAACGCCACACACTCCACACATGGCACGCACTCCACACACGGCACACACTGCACACACGGCATGCACACACCACACACTGCACACTGGGCACACACATGTCACACACTCCACACCCGGCATGCACACATCACACACTGCACAT